AGTTACAAGAGATTTGACTTTGAGATTTGGGTGGTATCAGATTGTGATATGATAAGTTCCAAGCCTTGTGCATTTGTAGGACCCTTTCACGAGTGCACGGTGTCTGTTGCACCTCGAAATTGGGTTTTAGGATGTGACAAGTCACATTTAAGCCACTTGCATAATTCAATTGAAAAAAAATTAATTTACACATGTATAAAATATTCATAATTAGCATGTAATGTTGAAGCTAATCTATATATATTTATATATATAATGCAACCTTATGCATTAAATAGGGTATGCAAAATACATCTAGATTATTATTATATTAATAGTATAAATGAAAAAAGAGAATTATAAATGATAATGAAATTGGTAGATAAAGAGACAAATAACTAAAAATATGTAAATGATAAAAATAATTAAAAACAATTGATTAATGAATAAATGTGGTAGATGAAGAGGCAATCAAAGAAGAAAAAATGGAAAAAAGATTATCCAACAAAAAGAAGATGAAAAGTCAAGTGTTAACTATTTAAACTCCTTACATTTTTTTATTGTTATTTTTGTTTTAAAGATTTTTCTAAATCCAAAATTTAGTTGCAACGTATAGTTGCTAGGATTTCTTTTTCTCAACATAAATATGTATTTGATCTTAACCACCAATTTGTTTTTTCCTTAATTATATTACATTTTTTCTCATATTTTGAAATATTTTGTTGCTAAGATTTTTAAAAGTTTTATAGGTAAATCAAAGAAAAAGATATGAAATATGTATTTCATGATCAACTTTCTCATGATAACAAAGATTGGAAGATTAAAGTGTGAATATGTAGACTATGAGATGTTTTTAGTTTGAAACATGACAAAGATCATCTAACTACTTAAATGATTTTGATCTATGAGAAGGTAATTTTATGAGTTATTAAATTTGGTTTTTTATATATTTAATGATTTCTATTAACCATTATTATTTTGTTTGCAAAAAATTTCATTCATGTTGTAATTTGGAGTTCCAATGCCTTGTGATTTAAAGAGAAGTTGGTTGAAAGGAATGTTTATTACATGAAAAAATTTTCTATAGAAAAAAAAATATATATGAACACGTTGTTGTTTCTTATAACAATTACAGAATCCAATTCCATCTTGATACTATAATCAAAGAATTGAATGAAGAAGCCGATGATTCCAAGATTTGTATTTGAACTCACCAATTATGAAAACCTACTTGAGGAAAAAAAAAAACACTTTTTGTGGTATTTTTTTATCTTAATATAATTTTATTAAATGAACATATGATTCATTTTTATTAAAAATATTTTTTTATTAAAACTCTAGATGTTATTGGAGTTTTAGTCGGTCTTGAAACTCCATAAAAACGAAGCAAATGGTTGTAATGTTGTTCACATGGAGTGATATATTGAACATCAAAGGTAATTCATATTGATGCTATTGCATGATATATTTGAATTTCATTTCTCCTTAATTAAATAAAATATGATTCTTAATCAATTAATTGTAAATAGTTATTTGATATTGTTTTAATTGAAGGAAAAACCACTTAAGTATAACACTTTGATCTTTCATGGTAAATCAAATTTGAGCAAATTAAAATTTATAATGACTTAAATGTGGAGACTATTATATTTACATTTATGATGGTAAGATAATAAAGATAAGTATATAATGAAGTTTATAATTTTTTATAAAAATAAAAAATTTTACAAATTGTGTAACTTAATTTTAAAATAAACTATTTTTTTTATTAGGAGGTGTTTCAATGTTGAATGCTCAATTTATGAAAATTTATATGAATGGCATTATTGCTAAAATATTTTATCAGAAAGGAAGTATTGAGTAAGAAATAATATGATTTTATAAATTTAAAATTATTTAAGATATTAACATATATAATTTTCAATGTTATTTTTTAATGTTATTTGCAGAAAAGTCAGATCATTAACTCTCAATGCACAACTAATTATAGTACAAAACAATAACAATAATATGAAAAATGTCACATATAATGTTACAATGCATGATATGTTAATACATTAAAAGGTTTATATATATATATTTTTTAAAATTAAAGGATAATTGCATTGGTTAATTGATCTTCATACATTAATACCAATCAAATAAAATGTGTTTTATTACTATTTTCTGACACATATTTTGAAATTAATATTAATAGTAATAATAAGAAATAATAATACTAATAATAATAACCACAATAATTAAATATGAGTACATGCATGTTTATCTAATTATTTGATTTATAATAAACTAATATATTCTTTATTATTATTTTCCATTACATGTTTATTAAGCAAAAAATAAGAGAAAATGATGTGCCTTTTAATTTACCCTTTATGCAAAAAATAAGTTTATAAAAACATAAAAAGCATTCTTAACATTACATGTGTTATTATTGAATAAAAAATAAAAGAAAGAGAACATGAGAATTTAATCATTATTATAAAAATCCAAAAGACATAGAGTGTTTAAATATCCTTAATTAAGATTCATTTAAAAAATTAATAAAAAATATAACTAAAATTACAATTATTTTAACTTTTCATTTTCCTTCTCCTCCCAACTTATCTTTCTCTTCTCAATTATTTTATCATTATTATGATGAATTAACCCTAAAATTTATAGAGGGTAAAAAATAAGGGATTGCAAAACACATTAATTATTAAGTGTATGCTAAAAGCTAAATACATTTATGAAGACTTAACCTTTTATCTTTTACATTAATTTACAATTGATAATTGTTATATAATTTTAATGGTATAGTAATTTTATATTTTAAAATGTATTAAATGTATTATAAATAATAATTAAAATAACTTAAAACTAAAAGTCTAAAACTAATGCAAAGAGAATAAAACATTCTTAATCTGAGTGATATTAATACATGTTATAAAAATAAAGAAGATAAAATAATATATAAAAGATTAATTAAAATTATTAATCTTACAAGTAAAAAAAAAAACATTTGGTTAATAGAAATAAAACGTGCGAGAGATAATTGATTTATTAAAAATATATTAAATGTACTTGTTAATGAATTTGTTATATATTCTTTATATGCCAAAATAACTATAATTTTTTTTAACTTTTTCTCTAAATTAAGTATTTAAGAATTTTTATATTTTTCTACAATACCCTTAAAAAAGAAATAGAAGAAAAAAAAAAAGAATTTTTGTGATTGGATGATTAATTAAATTGAACGGATAATGATGATGGCATAGAAAAAAATATTTATTTGTCCTAAAAAATAAAAAAAAATGATAATTGATTTAAGATAAATTTAAAATAATTTTTTTTATTTCTATTAATAATTTTTAATACTTAAATCAATTTAAAAAATTTTAATTAAAATGTCATTATAAAAACATAAAAATATAGTATTACATAATTTTTTATGAATTAATGTAAAAGAATAAATATAATCCTGTGTAACGCATGGGTTAAAAAAAATATAGTTAAAACTAAATATGTATAAAATTAAGAATATATTATTTATAACTGCAAATGACTAAAGTAGAACTTTTCAATTTTCAAATGAAACCCTCACTTTTTAAGTCCTAACAAGCAACAAAATTTTCAACTGAACACAAAAAGGTCAATAAAAGAAAATTAGAAACAAAGTTTCACTTTGGAATATAAACTACAATAGATTAAAGATTTTGTTCAATTACCTGCAGAGAGTTATTTTATTTGGTTTTCATCTTCACTTAACTCAATTTTTGAAAATTGTTATGAAAGAGAGTCCGTGCGATGGTTGAGCTTTTTCTCTCTCTTTGTTTTTTTGTTAGGTCAAGGGTATTTAAGATATTGCACATAATTTTAACATTATTTGGATAGCAATAGTGGTTTAGTGCTCAAGGTTCAAAACACAAGTCTTTAAGTGCACATTTCAACACCACAAGTCTTTAAATACACTTACCTTAACACCACAAGTAAGTTGTGTGTAATTTCCCCTTCATACAAATTAGTGAACCGATCAACCGCCCAGTTCAAGTATTTTAACAGGTAAAAGGTGATAAAAGGCATTGGGGTAACTCAAACCCTTCGCCCCATTGCTCAAAAGAGCTTTGTTTGATATAATTCATGTTAGACCCGTAGCGCTTTGATAGCATAGGTTGCGGGTTAATGTAATGCAGGTCATCTTCTCAAAATTTGTTTTGGAAAACCGGTTTTAAAACTTACATTTTGATTGCATATATTTTTCAAAAATTAATTATTGGATTAAAAGTTTTATATACTTAGATTATTCATGTCAATTTTCACATTAATTTAACACTTATAACTTTTTAATTAAATAAACTTTCTTTTCTAACATATACTAAATGATATTAAATTTTGTGTAATCAACGAACTGATTAGGTTTATTAGATTAATATAAAAATTTACATGCATGATCTATATTAATAAAACTTTTAATCCAATTATTAATTTTTAAAAATATGAATTAGAATATGAGTGTCATGCCCCAGAACCCAAATCCGGGGGTGTGGCAGACGCCGTGCACTCGTGAGAGAGTCCCACAAATGCATAAGGCTCGGAATTTATCAAATTCACATCTGACAATCCAATAACTTAAATCAGATATTTCAAAATAATTCTATGTCCAACATGACTTAAGCTCGAAATCTCAAGGTCAAATCTCTTGTAACTAACAATCCATTAAATGAATTTATAAAATCTCCAATAAAAATCTAGCTTACAAGATCATAATCTATATCTAAAATCTATATCAAAATATAGGTGGCTAGCCTTCTAACTCGTCACCCCCTCGTTTTTCCCCATCCTTGACTTCGCTTCCTGAAATGGTGGACAAGGAAAAACTATGTGAGATCAGTGTTGTCAAAAGTGCTTTAAAGCGCCTTAAAGCGCTAGCCCTTCAAAAGGCTTAAGCTGTGAAGTGGAAAGCGAAGTGGACGCTTCACCGAAGTGAAGCGGACAATACAAAAAGATGATTATGTAATAACCTAAACCTTTTCAAAATGTACTCAAAACATGATATATTAATAAAACAGATTTTAAAGTTCATAACATCAATTATCAGAAATTCAGAATAGAAAACTAGCAGTGCATGTAAGCATAATAGTCAAGAAATTAAAATAGTGCAGAAAGTCAAAAACAACATAATATCATTCCAAAATCTAAGATAAATCATCTGCATCTATGTCATCCTCATCAACTACATTCATCTCATCATCATCACTGTTGTCATCTCTATCACTTGAGTGATAATCCTCAATCTCTTCCTTTGATTCCTCTGTATCAGCCTCTTCTTCTTCAATTTCTTGTACAACAACTTTTCCTTTAGAACTTGAAGGTTTTAGTGCTGATTGTCTACAACAAATTCTTCTAGTATATTTTCTAGGCTCTTCAGCACCAAAAGCTCTAGCTACCTCTCCCCAAGTCAAGTCATCATCACCAAAAACAAATTCATTTTCAGCATCATCTTGGTCACCACCCATTTTTCCAATCAACCATTCATTACTATCATCAATACAGTCAAGGGAGATTGGATCAATTTCATCCTTGCTATTATATCGAGCTTTAAGAGCTTGATTATACTTAACAAATACAAGATCTTGCATTTTCTTATGCTCAAGTCTGTTTCTCTACTTGCTATGAATCTATCCAATTAAAATAGATTATGGAATTAAATTATAATTAGAATTGAAATTATGAATCAGTCCAATTAGAATTGAAATTGCATGTGAAATATTGTAATGACAGAACAATTAAATAAAAACAAAAACAATCCCTAAATCAACAAGCAGAAAAACAAAATAAGTATGTCTAGGCAATGAACTTGAACTTGAGAGAGTCAGAATTTCTCATTTTGTATTCGGGTTTTTGGTATGAGAAATGAGAGTAAAGGTGAGTACTTATTGAAGTGTTTGCAATAGCTGTTGTAGTTTATCTCCATTCCTGGTGCTTTTGGATGAGGATGTGGGTTAGTACTTAATAGTCATAGCTAAGGGTGAGATACTCTTTCAATAAAGAATTTGGTGCTGGAAATAATTATGACTCTATGATGCATATATGGATTAGGTGTGGCAGTGTGCAAAAAATATCTTGACCTGCAGAACTACTCAGTGGAGTAGGAGAAGAAATTATTTAACAGTAGGGTTCCATTTCCATCTAATTCAGGTGCCCCAATAACTTTTTTCTGGGGGGTTGGTAAATAGTGTGCCCAAATAGTTGGCATTCTTTAGATTTCATTTAAAAAATGTTGTAAACTTGTTTAATCAATGGAACTATAATAATTTGAGAAAAAATGGAAGCAAACCTACTTATTAATCACGATGAGAATATTTTATCACTAGATTTCACTATAGTTGAGGAGTGACTGAGTGACTAAGTAATTTCAATTTTTTTCATTAATAACTTTAAGTATTATTAAATGTGGTCATTATATTTTATTATATATAATATAACTTAAAAGCAAGGTTTTTAAAATCGGACCGGATTGGTCGGTTGAACCGGTCAGATCGATACTCGATAATGAAAATGGCTCGGTTCACACAAAAAAATCGTTT